ATTCCTTTGCAGATTTATTTTTGGCACCATGCTATTTCAAGTCCTTTTGCCATTGAACTTGCCTATAGTAGAGCAGCAGTATGTGCTTGCACCTTAGGCAGATACGATTTCAATGGGCAGTAGAGCAGCTGAGACAGTACCGCTCCCTGGCTGCAGTCTGAATGTATAGTGTTACGTGTGAATAGCTGATGCAGTATCTGAGTCGCTGCAATGCATTTCCTACGCAAGCTGTGTTCTAGGTCTTGATCCTTTTTCCACCACTCTTCCACTGACATGTTCAGACGAGGCCAAAGTCTCTTTTCTTTCAATGTGTATTTGCGTATGGATTTTGATTTGTAAATTTTGGGGCCATTTTCTAAAGGACTCCCACCTCTGGCTTTCTCAAGTACCCTAGCATCAAAACTAGGTCTCCAGTTAAGTCTATTTGTGAGCTCAGGCGCTGGTGATTAGACAGGTTGTGTGTCTCATTTGTAGCTGATAGTATCGCTGATATGACTCAAGCCTACGCAGTTGGCTTCCTGTTTGGTAAATGATGCGTTCTGCAATTCACAGTATTACAGACCAGTTTGGAGTTTTGTAGATCAGAAAGAACTGCTCTCCTCTCCAAAACTGGAGATTTTTCTTTCTACCTGACTGTAAACCTGTTTGAAGGATATGAAGCTGTTCGATCAGCTCCTGCTCTCCATCTCTGCCTGTCAGTGCAGCCAGCTACAGGTCTGAACATGACGAAATGCTAGGAGAAAGATTCTTGGCTCAAATGTTTAGGCTGGGACAGTTCTGCTAGTTGGAAGAAACTGCAGCTCAACATTCAAACTTGCGTATGATTGCTCAAACATCGTCTTTGCTGTACCATCCATCTCTGATGTTTATGTTTTCCCAGTGGATGATTTCACCTCCTATGTAATCCATGGTGCTGTTTTTCAAGTTAGACAATGAGGAGAATAGAGGCTTTCAAAGTGCAATAACATTCCAAGCCCTCCTCTATTTGCCTAAAGAATGATCAGATTCTCCAGAGTACTTTGTGTTTCCCAAGCATAGTCTCGCAAAGGAAAGAGAATTTGGTCCCTTAGAAGTCAAGGGGGAAAATAAAAGAGCACATCTAGGTGCTGCCTCGGGTAGCAAAATAAAATCACTGATATGCTTGGCATGTGGCTGATGGAGCACCCAAGCTCCTCTTCTCCTCCATCAAACATCAGAATGACTTGTGTGTTGCATCTAAAACCTGATCTGAGGGGATTTACATGGGGGGAGCTGTAGAACCCAGTGAGTGGCATAGGGAATTTTGATGTGTGCTGTTCCCCAGGATGTGTTGAGGCAACAGTTTCCTTTTTGCTCCTGCAGCAGGTTTAAAATGTGTACCTTTTCCTTTTTAGTAAACAGTCTCTGTCTCTCCATCCTTCTCCTTGTTTCTATGTCTCTTTCTTTGTCTCCTTCTGTCAAAATAAATCTGGCTGCCATGCGCTGTAGTTAACTCAAAATATTGCTAGCATTAAATGTGCCCAGACATTTTTATTAATACATTAAACTTGCATGAAATTTTTAGGCATTATAATTTACCAAGCTTACACCAAGATGGCATTTGAAACTGACATGAGCTATTAATTAAAAAGGAGGACATTAAATAATTGTCAGTTGACATCTAAATTACTGTTTTGTTAGCTGACAGAAGCTTGCCTCAAGCCTCCTTCTCTTCTCAAGTGTTAGTAAATATCCTATTGAGTTTAAGGGCATCCCATTATGAATTGATTGTTTAAATCTTAATGTCATATACCTGACTAAATAACAGGGTAAGTGCTGTTAATTATTTCACAGGGAGCTGTCAGTATCATGTGGGTGTAGAAACACTTCTCTTTGAAGTGTTTGGGAAAGTATCAATGGGGACACATCAGAATGCTTCCTGTTTATAACGGAAACCTGTCCTTGCAACATGTTGGTTAGGTTCAGTACCAGCTAAGCGGGGTTCTAGCATGAAAGATTACCTGCATCAAGGTCTTCAACTGGTATGAGGCTGAGCAACTCCATCGACTATGATGGCACAGTGCTGGGAACACCCACTCAGAGTACGTCCCAGCTAGGGAGAGAACTTAATGAGTGGCTTGAGGCACTTGTGGGAATAATGATGTGAAATTTAAAACAAAATTTAGCTGAAGGTGAATTTGGTGAGTGCTCTATCAGTTGAATTAAGGTTTTTTTCTGAACAAACACTAATAACCATCACTGGTCAAACAGAAAATGAAGTTGTCTGCAGAAGATATGCCAGTTCTCTCTGATCCTAAAGGGTTGGTATCTTGATTATCACTGAGGGTTTTGGGTTGCTTGCATCCCTGAGCGATTCAGGATGGCTGTGTGATTGGTTGGAGTAAATCTAGAACTAGGTGATTTCAGGTAGTGGGCTTTGCTTTATCAAAGGGCTTTCCAGGACTAGACACTGGGCTAAAAATGTCATGAATTAGAATCCCCAGGGAATTGAAGAAAGTAGCTTAAAAAGTTATCACAATTATCAATTAACAATTATCACATGTCTCTCTGGTGACCTGAATAAATGAGAGAGTATCCTTATGACCTATGGGGAAAAATAAACCAGATAAAAATGAACTTACAGCTTGAATTTTCTTGAGGAATCTCCTTGGCATTTTTAATACTGTAGAACTTACTGTGCAACTACTCAGCATGAGTAATATCTCAATGCTCTTTTCAGGAAATAAACTGGGGGAATTGTGGTGGGTTTGTGTTTGAAGAGTTTGGGATTTATTTTTTTCTCCCATTGTTAAGAATGTCTACCTCCCATACATCTCCTTTCAGAGATACACAACCCCAACCAGTTAGATGTTAGAAGTACTAGTTTATGGGGACATTTTTAAATGTTTGCTATGGTAGTATTTTTACTGTCAGAGGTTTCCTCAAGATCAGTAGAAGGCTATACTGTTTCCTCAGATTAACACCTGCATTATAGAATCCCTTAATGAGCCACCAAGGAGTAATACATAGGTGCCCTGAAGTGAATAAGAACAAAGTTTTGTTAGTAAATTACTCACTGCCACAGCAGAATTGAAAAGTACAACTGATTAAGAAGCAATGGTGGATTTCTAGTTGTTTTCTACTTAACCAAAAATAGTCACCTGTAACATATCTAGTTTTGCCCCCAAACATTGTGGAATGACAGCTTCTCTCACTGGTCAGTGTCAGTGTCTCTAAGGCAAAGAGTTTGTGTATTGTGTCACATTTCCAGCCTGAATACCAGAATTTTGATATGAAACTGGAAACTTCACTCTACCTTCTAGTAAATGCCTGTAGCCTGGGATGAGGAATCATCAAAGGGGTAAGTGTAAGGTCATCATTAAAGATGTTAAATTTTGCTGCCATGACAAAGCCAGTCACTTCCCCTAGAAAGATCAGAGAATGGTATCATAGATGTTCAAACTGCCTCTGAAGGAAAATATCACACATAACAAACAGCAAGGGGAGGTAGAAAAGCCCAACATGGAGCAGTTCATAGATCATACAATGCGCATTTCATCCAGGCAGTAAATCTACTGCCTTCTCTTCTTGTCTTTGTTCCTCTTTTCCCTTTATTCCCTTTTCTCTTGACTCTGGTCTCTGGCTTTTTTATTTCAGCTTAGCCCTTTCTCACACCCTTCCCATTTGTTGCTCTGTCTATACTGCCCTTAATACACCTGAAAGTTTACTGGGTATTCTATGTTTGTTCTTCTGGCCGTATAATAGTTCTAACCTATTTTAGGTTAATACACAGAAATTGTCAGCGTCAAGTCAATTGTCAGAAAGAGAATAGTGTGTTACTAGAAAGGAGACATTTTGTGACAGTTAGCTGTGTCAGGTTGGGGAAGCATCTCCCTGGAAAAATAACAGATGCTTCACGGCTGGGGCCCTTCTCTGTTGGACAGGCAAAACACTGAAGTACTTGCTGCAAGGGGTGTCCTTGCTTTGATCTTCAACTGAGTGTTTACATGTGCTGCGCTCTCCTTATGAGGAGCGACTATGACAGAGACATCCTTCTATCCAGCTCCCTGAGAGAGGCCAAAAGCCACTTCTTAGGTCACCAAGTACAGCTGTTGCCTTCAGTTTATGAGAATGCTGATTAACTGAAGTTTGGGGTTTTTTAGTCACTTATAAAATGTCTCAAAGGGATGCAAAAAAGTGTCCACATCTGTAGATTACCATGAGCCAACAGGCAGCTTGCAGTCCAGAGTCCCTACTCCTGTACATCTCTACCCTATTGCCTGTCCTTGGGGGAGATGAGGAGTGGCCATTGCCTAAGTGGTCTAGCACTGCCTCTTCTGCCTGTGAACCCATCAGGTGCTCAAAACCAAAAATAGTCTAACTTTTTGGATAGCAGGGAGGAAGGTGAAGGGCAAAAATGCAACCAACCCTTCCAGCAGAAATGATCACTGCACGGCCTCAGATGATCTCAGAACTGAGATCCAGACGCCGTAACTGGGAAATTTTTGTTGAAGCCATTTACCCTGGTTTACATGGTTTTATTTTACATTTTTTCTTTTCTTTTTTAAGCTAAAGGACTTGTGAATATATGACAACACAGTAATAACTTTGCGGAAAAGTTCAAGCAATGTCAAAGATCTAAATTCAGCACTTTTGAAGCAAGTTTTTTAGCTTTCATCCCTTAACAATGTTTTTTTTTTAAAATGTTTGCTATTTTAATACATAGTGCAAACTAAAAAAAAAAAAAGCTTAATTAAAAGCATTTGAAGGATTTTCTTCCTAAAAAGATTCTCAGTCTGCTGGGATTTCTTTCCTATTTCTGAAATGTCAAAACCCTATTACAAGGGATTTCACTTTTCCACGCCTTTTCCAGCACTAGATACACTGCCTATGGTGGTCCTCTAGACACTTACATGCATGTTTTGTGTTAGCATTCAAATCGCAGTTGTGGGGAAGCATCATGCATAAAGAGAGAGAGGAGTTAAACATTGCAGTTTGTGTATCACACCACCTCAGAAAACGCATGGGGCAATGACTCTTACCTTCTATCCATTTTGCCATCGGACTCTAAAGAGAGAAAAGGAAAATGTGGTTAGTCAAGAAACCAGGAATAGTGGTGATAGGCCTGCTCAGAACTTGTGAGGATGCAACCAGGAGAACATGGTTACAGCTGGTAAAGATCCATCCATGCATTCGGAGGCAAAACTCTCTTGATATTAGTAGAGTTATGCAACCTTCCTAAGCCCTTCTTGATTCTTCCAACTGGAATATCTCATGTCAGTTTTCTCAGAGCTATATCTTTTGCTAGTATTTTGGCTTTTTTGAGCTTGATTGTAGCACATCCCCAGACTGTCATAAGAAACAACTTCGAGGGCAGATGCTTGATGAGAATGGCGCAGAAGTGGTGTTTCCCTTTCGGCCTGCTATGTAGTGCCGCTAAGTAAAGCATCAGCCATTCTCCTTTCAGGAAGTGGCATTACATTGCCCTTTGTATCTTCCTGGGGAGTCTGTTTGAAAAATTATCCTTTGAAAGACCAGCATTTACTGTAAATAGGATGGAATCAGGTTGTGACTGATAGGCTGAGCTCAGGGTAGCAGTACTGGGCCCAGAGAGTTCACTCTACTTCACTATTCTGCTTTCCTTCTTACTAAGCAAAAGCCTGAGACTACCATGGAACCAATATGTCATGGTGCACTGCTGACTTAGTAGGGTTAGACTGTCCCAGATTCTGGGAAATTACCTCTCATTTGTCACATGAAGGTTAATGCAAAGATCTGGCCCCAGAAGCAAACATACTACCAGAGCTGTAGTTCATACACAATTTCTAATGCTGAAGTTTAGATCTGCTGTATCAGAACATAAGGAGATCTAGATTTCTTGCTAAGAAATCAGGAATATTTTTTCTTACCTCCAAAGTCATTGTCAATCATTTGTTTTTTGATCATGCAGATTATTACTGCTACAAAACCAATTGCTAGAAATGCTCCCAGAGTAACTCCTATAATAACATATGTGAAATCTGCAAAAATTGAAAACAAGCCAGTGAGTATACACAATTAAGTAATAAATACAGTCTTTGTGATTCAGATGTGACACAAAGTTTCCAAAGTTTAAATGCATCCATAAAAAAAAAAAATAAAAATCATATTTCGTCTTCAGACAGGGCTGATAATGCTGAGCCAGACCAGGCAGCTGAGAGGATTGTATTCTTTCAACCCCCTGCACGCCATGAAACCATGTGGCTAAGGGACTCAATGCAGTTTGATGATAATGAACAAGTTTAGCCTTTGGTGTGTGCAAGTCTCAGCTGAGTTTTAGAACTAGGGCTCTACTCCTCCCCGCAAAGTGAAATCCCCCATCTGCACACCCTT